TATGCTGAACCCCAGTTGGCGAAATCTCACCAGCATGACAATCCGGCGCATGGACGGGTTGACGCAAGGCCGAGCCATACAAACTTGACACAGCGTCATGAACGTTGCCAACATTATCATCTCCTTGGGAAAGAATCTAAGCTCACGCCGTGTGTCCTCTTCAGCGTCTTTAGACGAATCTGCAGCTGTCGCTGTGTCTTCCCGCAGTATGGCATCCCCAACCAGACAGTCCGCCAGTTAATTCGGCGGCCTGCATCAACCTGCTCCTTTGCCAGCCGATAAAGCAGCAAGTCCTCTTCGTCCGAGAAGTCTGCCATCGGGTTGCCACGAGATCTAGAAATCTATAATGCCATACATACCATAAGATATTTGGTCTCATACTTCTTCGCCTGATAACCTACCGACCTTTCACAAAGGTCCCATCCCCAGCAATGTACTCAACACCAGGTTCAAGACACTCCTACCGCCAGCAAGGCAACTAAGCCCGGCTATCGATGCCGCTGCTATAAACGCTCTCGTGGCGCTGCCCAGCCAACACGAAAGCACCCCTATTAGCCTCATCGACCGCGCCGAATGCCACCTTCACGTTCGTGACCATGCCAGAGGAGACGCCCCCGATCACGTCCAACACGGCCACGGTCGCCGCGGAAGCCTCCGAGACCATGCTGTTGACGGCACACACGGCGGCGCTGCGGCCGCCGTTGTGCTTGCTGCCCGAGTCGCCCGCCACCATCGCATCCGTGTCGCCGACGGCGGAGACGTTTCCGACCAGGTCCATCAAGACCATGATTGGGGGAATGCCGATGGTAGGGCGTTTCGGCGAGGGAGAACGGGTAGAGCGGTCGCGATACATAATGTCACATAAATAGACTATTGGTATTTGAAGTGGTTTACACAACATGTAAAGGCTCGCCTTTTTGGTGCCCATTTTGCTTTGGTTGATCTTTTCAAGCTTTCCCGCGCTGACATTTTTTTCCATGTCTTCGCTTTGACCAATCAAAACCTGTCTCCGAAAAATCGATGACAGTGATTGGCTGCCAAAGTTCAACAAGAAGTGTGATTGGTGGAATTAGTTCAAATCGATCCACTGTTGTTTGGTCGGCTTGATCGGCTTGCTCCGAATCAAAATGACCTTCTCGCATCGGAGCTCATTTCCGATTTTGCAAGCTCGATCCCAAGTGTCCCTGGCTGACCACGCTCCGTTCTTCCGGTTTCCACGCCTCGAACGACGGTGGTACACATGTGCTGGCCGTACCCATCGTTTACGGCGCGTGGCTGCCCGTGATACTATGCACGCTGCGGTCAAGTCCAGCCTGCCAGTTCGCCCCTCACTCTCCAAGTCCAGCGTCGTTGGAGTCGCCACACGCTCAGCTCCTGTGTGTCGACGCATCTGCTGCTGCTGACCGCCTGTGCTACTTGACGCGCTGACCTCGGGACGCACCGGGCATGAAGTTGGACTCGCTGTCCGTCGTGTACCCACCCGACGACCATGTCCCGCACAACCGCCGCAACAGCGCATTTGTTGTCGATAACGCAGTGCTACTAGAACTGGCGCTGGGATGGTGTCGTTTGTCCCGTAGTCCCCAACTCTCCTCACGGCATTGCCGCCGGGTGTGGCTGTCAACCACGTTCAGCTGCGAGACGCCAAGATTCCGCTACAGGACCCCGAGATGGAGCGTCGGAGGCGGCACTGGACGACTGCCCACTAGACCTGCAGGTGGACGGCGTTCTCCCGCCCTTTTTCGCTTCCAGCGATCCTCATCGACGGACAACCGCACGTAGATGCCTCAGGAGGGAGCGGGGTGCCACCGGCGACAAAGATCAAGAGAGGCTACCGCTAGAAATGGAGCGTTCGAGTCCCATCGGGGGTCAAGATGGAGCCTGAAGTCGCCATGACGACGACGTCGCAAGCGCCCAATTTGCCCAGCGACATGGACACGCAGGCGGCATTGGCACTTGGCAGCAGTGTATCTACGATGGGCGTCACCACTGTCGCCGTGTACCGTAGTTCGGACCGTCACTATGGGGCTTGCATGGGTCAACGTAACTGTGGAGACGATGCCGAAGCCGCTACAGCACTTACATTTGGTAGCAATACTGGAGTAAATCTAAGTACCGTATGTTACCGTTGAACGCTTTGAGTACTCGTACTATTCATGACTCTGTGTAATTACACTGTATTCAACCCGCACTCGATATCCGATGCATTTTGCACGGTACCTTATCAGCACAGCTACGCTGCATTCCGCATGGCGGGCATTGAACCTGCACCGGTGGGTTCAAACTCCACCATACTATACTAACATCACATACAACGATGAGTCGAACCACCCCATACAAAGCCTAGTACGTTCGGTCCCTTTGAACACTTCGAACATGGCCATACAAATAACAATATATTCGGTCCAATGGCTCAAGCGAGACCGATGCATGCAAACCAGTTAGAGATCTTTGCCGTGAAGGAGCCACTGGTACGCTAGCTGAGCTCGTCCACCACCACATACCCAATGCCACGAAAGCGGAAGCAGCGGTCGAGCACCTGCGAGCCCACAGCTAAGCGACAACAATCACGACGCTCGGGTCCTATCTCACCTTCAGCTCCCACCGGTCTAGGTACGATCCGTTGCTTACCTAGCGCTCGAGCAAGGTATCATATTGACGCGTGTCCACCGGCATACAGACCTCGCGGATGACCATGCGATGTTTGGATCTGTTTGGCGAGTTCTAAGTGCGACTGGTTGGAGTTCAAAGCGTCCAACAGGGCGAAGCTTGAGTGATCTGTACCGCTATATCCCTCCCGGTGGTGACTCGAATGGAACAGAGGGTATCGACTATTTTCTGGGTGAACGAGCGCTTTTGGAGCACTATCGGCGGACATTGGTAGTGGAGGATGGTGATACGGATGGTGCCCTGTCCAAGCGACCCGATGACGAAATTGATGTCGACCAAAACAACGTTAATATATGTGGGGCTGGAGATGTTGGTCTCAACGGGGCAGATGATGTACGTGGTAGTAGCGGCGGAGTTCCTGGAGCGAGTGCAAACGACTTTGATTGTGAGAAAGCCGCGCTTCCGGGAGTAAGCTGTCACGAATCGGTGTTTGATGGTGCTGCCAGCACCTCTCAGGATTATGATGGTGCTGCCTCTGCTGTATCTACACCGCCAACATCAGCGCGCGTCGTACCCGTACATGCAGCAGCTACGCGAGACCATTTACTCCAGCTAGATCACCACGCACCCACCGCATCGTCTGGTACATGTGCACAATGTACAGTCTGCAATATGGAGTGTTCAACCGAGCGCAGTTGTACCTGGTGCAGAAAATTTCTCCATCACTTCTGCTCTCATGATGTCTGCGTTTCGTTGAATATCCCAGACCCTAATGGTGGATTCGCCAAGGATTTTGGTGATAGCAGCTATTGCAGCACGCTTTGCTACACAAACGCTACAAAAATGAACTTGGTGGACCAAGGGAGAAGTGATGAACGACCCAATGCCCTACTTGACCTCCCCGCGAGTGTTTTGACGCCAAGTGTGGCTCCGTCGGAACCTGCAGAGACCAACGCCACCACACATCCTGCTACAAATTGCTCGGGGGCAGCAAAACCTTTAAGCGAAAAAAGCGCGGTCCTGCCGAACAATCAGCTCCAAAGGCACCCCGAAGCGAAAACGAAGCTGCGCAACGGAAAACGAAAAGCAAGAAGGCACCTACCAAGGCCAGTAAACCCAAGGCTGTGGCAATGAAAGAAGAGTTGATTCGCCGAGCACATGCGGCTGCCGAAAAATTTGTTGATGCTAGCGTAGCATTTTCACCGGCTGATGAGGAGTGGATGCCGCTCAGTTTGTAACGCGACGTTGGCGCAGCATTTTTGATTGGTGTGGTGACTCGCTACAGCCTGGCAAGCGAAAAAAATGCTGACAATGTTAGCGTTCCTCACGACAAATTTCAGGTTCAATGGACGTGTACTGCTTTTCAAATAAAAGATCACGTTCACCACGTTTCCGAAGCCATCATCACCCGTGGTATCCGCCAGTTTGCCAACATGGAAAAAGACAAACTTCAATTTGGAGAGTCTTGGACGTCCCTGTGCAACATGGTCCCCAAACTATCAAACATTCCTGCACTGACAGATGAATTTCAGGAGATGGACGAGCGTGGTTATCGTGAGTGGTTTGCGTTTCGCGGGCGGAAAGAATTGCAGCGCCCTTTGTGCCCTGGTGAAGTCGAAGAGATAGCGTCAATGACATTTTCACCCACAGCATCGCTTGGCCAACCGTCAGGGCTATTTACACATCCGGATGGGTCTTCAACTACGAGACTACGCCCGGAAAGTCATGGGTTGTTTGGGCATTCAGCAACCTCATCGTTCTTCGCGTTTATTCCGTTGTCGTTCTGGATCCAAGTGGTCGTCTTTACCAACGAGTATGCAGACGCATCTGGCAGCCCATCGGCAACTCCTGTAAGTTTAGAGGAACTGATGAAATTCCTTGGGATCCTCTGGTACATGACTCTGTTCGACAAGGGTGAGATGAGAAATTACTGGGTGGACGACGAGGAAGCAACTATTTTTTCCTGGAGCGTGTACTACTAGTTTGAAGTCAATTATGACATGGCGAAGATTCCTGTACATCCGTAAGAATTTGAGTTTTCGTTCCAAGGTGTCTACCTCCGACATCAAGCGCGGTCCTGTAGCTAGAATACGACCACTCATGAGCATTCTGAAATCGCGATGCCTGCGCCATGTTGAAGTCGGTCGAAACGTGGCTGTTGATGAGGCCACAATTGCCTGCCGATCCCAGTATGCCCGCCACATTATAGTCTTCAACCCACAAAAACCCACCGGAAAGTATCATTTCAAGTTATACGTGTGTTGCCGTTCTACCTCGTGGTACGCGGTGAGTTTCAAGTTGCACTGCTCCAGTGAACTTGATTATCGGCTGGACGGTGTAATTTCACGCTCAGAAGTGCAGAAATTCGCTGATCTAACCGCGAAGTCGTCTGAAATCCGCTCTCACGTCATGGCGGTTACTTCATCTTTGAAAGGATCCAGTCGCATTGTAAACACGGACAACTTCTACACTTCCTGTTTGCTGTTGAAGACTTTACGATGGATTGGTCTCTATGGGCGTGGCACTGTACGCACATCTAGCAAGCATTTCCCTCATTTTACGATGATTCGTAAGGAGGACGCGAAGCCGCGAGGCTACATGAAGCAAGGTGTATGCTTAGAGAAGCATATTGTCGCAGCTAGTTGGGTGGATGGCTCAATTGTCAATGTCGTGTCTAATGCCGATGCTTCGACCACATCAACTGTGCATCGTCGTATAAATGAATCGGGTGTGGCTTTCACTGCTCCTACTTGCGTCGGCGAGTATAATTCAGCGATGCAAGGTGTTGATCGGCTCGACCAACTGCGTGCACGATTTTCTCTAGCCGATGGCCACTCATTTCAGAAGTGGCATAAAAAACTAGCGATGGTCATGCTTGATATAGCCAGGTGCAATGCCTACATTTGCGATAGTTTGGCGCGTGGTGAGAGCGAGGAGTCTCGTTCGACGGGAGGTACAGCCCAAACGAGGTCAAGAGCCCGCGATAGTCATCGCGTATTTGTGGCATCACTGGTTCGAGAACTGTTCAATGGGGACTGGAAGAAATCTCTGGATAGGGAACATGGAATGGTGTATGCTGCGAAGCCGACAACGACAACAATGCCGATGACGACCCAAACCGCGGCGTCGACAGATGTATCCGAGTCTTTGGGCGATCACGCACAAACGTGTGTTGCAAGAGCGTCCTCGGAGGTGCTTCAGGGAAGGAGTCGCTCAATGCGGAAATGCACTGTGTGCAAGTTCGAGGGCAGAGATCCTACCGAGAAAACCGACTACTGCGAGACCCATCGAGTTGCGTTGTGCAAGCGCACATACCCTGTTGACCCTACGAAGCAGCATCTGTGCCAACAGCAAACTTGGACTTGCTGGCAGAAATACCATTTGTTTTACTTGCCGAAGCAAGTGTACACTGTCGACGGCAACTTGCGACGAACCTCTCCGATTTATGTAGCTAACCGCCCATTTCTGAAGGCCCGCCAAGATCAAAAGAAGGCTAACGCAGCCACCAAGGCGTAACCTCACATCATTTTTTCAAGATAGTCAAAGTCAACTAACCATTTATACTTCACTGCACTAAGTCACACCTATTCCATCTGCCCCCGCTAGTCTTGATGCCGTAAATGCGGATTTAGCTCGTGGCTGACAACATACTGCTTTACCACTGGTGCACCATAGCGGCAAGCTAACCACACTCCACTGCGTATAATCCGACAGGATGCTATTAGAAATTCCACGCGCCTCAAAGCCGAACAATAACTCCCAACTGTGTATATGTCAGCGAAGACGCCTCAGACCACATCCAGCACGGCCACGTTAGCCACCACCACATCTGAGGTCATGCTGCTGACGGCGCTGCCACGGCCGCTGCCCTCGCTGCCCGAGTCGCCCGCTACCATTGCGTCCGACTCCATGCTGACGAAGTTGCCTCCGATCTCCTCCCGTACGGACACGATCTCTACAAAGGACGTCATGCTGTTGATGCCGCTGACGGTACTGCTGGCACCTCTACAACGGTCTCCTTCCGCACTTTCGATGCATTTGCGCACGCGGTCTGGTCACCGGTCACATCCTTGCCAACCTCCGTGCCGGTGGAGGCACCCACGACCACCTCCAGCACGACAACGGTCACGCCCAAGCGTCCGTGGTCATGATGTTGCCGGCGCACACACGGCGCTGCGACCGCCGTTATGCTTGCTGCCCGAGTCCCCCGCCACCATCGCGTCCGTGTCCGTGTCCATGTCGGCGGAGACGCCCCTGACCGCGTCCTCCAAGGCCACGGTCACCTCCATCGTGTCCGAGACCCTGCTGCCGATGTCGCTGGCGGCACTGCGGCCGCTACTTCCGGCGGCGACCTGTGTGCGGCTGCCGCTGGCGTTGTGCTCGACGATCGCACCCGTGCCCCTGGGGACACAATAGTGTTGATAGATATACTACAGAAGACACAAATGCGTGGGGTTTTACCTATCCCTCTTAGCTGTATGATTGGTCATAAACGGCGAGGAAACTGCCGTGGCTCAGAAAATTGCTGTTTCAGTTATCTTGCTACTACATCACCATTAAAAAGATACTTGATGTATCATTCTGGTAACGATAGGGTTAAGCTATCTATCGTTTTTGGGGATCCTCAGAGTCGAC